AGTAACATCCCAGTAGATCTGCCAGTAGCTTTACCAGTAACCTCCCAGTATATCCACCAGCAGCTTTACCGGTAACCTCCCAGTCAGATCCCCAGTAACCTCCCAGTAACATCCTCAGTAACCTCCCAGTAACCATCCAGTAACATCCCCAGTAACCTCCATTAACATCCTCAGTAACATCCCAGTGATCTCCCAGTATATCCACCAGCAGCTTTACCAGTAACATCCCCAGTAACCTCCCCAGTAACATCCCAGTAACATCCCCATTAATCTCCCAGTAACATCCCAGTAGATCTACCAGTAGCTTTACCAGTAACCTCCCAGTAACGTCCCAGTACATCCAGCAGTAGCTTCACCAGTAACATCCCAGTAACCTCCCAGTATATCCACCAGCAGCCTTACCGATAACTTCCCAGTCAGATCCCCAGCAACATCCCAGTAGCTTCAGCCAGGTCCAGTTCAGACAGACCGATCAGAACCACCCCGGGACCCACTGGGCCTGCATCATCACAGAGGAGCAAGTCCCAGAGGTCAGAGCTAGAACTGGACCCTGAGCAGAACCAGAACTTCTCTATGGTTCTGAGTCTGTGGGTCCAAGAACAGGAACCAAACAGAGGGTTTCTGCTGTTTTTAGATCCCACCCACCCTGAGCATGAAGGTGTGAAAATCAAACACCTGTTGGCTGAAATGTCAGGCTACAGCGGGTCTCTGCAGAACCACAACAAAACCTTGTTTACATGAAACGGGCAGAACCATTCTGGTCATTTTAGGCTGGTTCTGGTCTTTAGTTCTGTTTAAGGTTCTGGTCTTTAGTTGTGTTTCAGGTTCTGGTCTCTGTTCTGTTTCTGGTTCTGGTTTTTATTCTGTTTCTGGTTCTGGTCTTTAGTTCTGTTTCTGGTTCTGGTCTCTGTTCTGGTTCTGGTCTTTGTTCTGTTTCAGGTTCTGGTTTTTGTTCTGTTTCAGGCGCTGGTTCTGTACGACTTCACAGCAGAACCGGGGAACAATGAGCTGTCTGTCAGAGAGGGAGAGACGGTGACTGTTATCGACCAGGTAATCTGATTACTTCCATGGATACTCTGATTACTGACAGGAATACTCTCATTGCCTGCAGGGATACTCTGATTACTTCCATGGATACTCTGATTACTGACAGGAATACTCTGATTACTTCCATGGATACTCTGATTA